AACTTTGATCTGAAAACCTGGGAAGCCAAGCATCAAAGCAAAAGGAGTAGTGTAAGACATGTTTCATTAAGGTAAAGAGTTCTGAAGACAGTAGACTGAAGCACCGTGATCAGCTTCATCAAACTCTGAAGCAGACACACCATCAAAATCCTGCATTAGCAAATTTCATCTGTCAGTGTTGCTTTGTCGCCTTCAGCAAGGCTGGGCTAGTATCACACTTAGACCCAATGAAATGTCTTTCCCTTACTTGATTTTCTTCACATGAGCCCCTGCTAGCATGCATAAATGTAAAACAAAAGGCACCATCCAATGCTGACCCTCACTTATCATTCACAATAGGAGAGTCCAATAACATGCATATATATATATATATATATATATATATATATATATAAGACATAGAACCGACACAGTGTTTTCTATCATGTTTATGAATACTCCTTGGGTTTATAATATAATTAGATGGTAACATATCAGTTCAAAACCTACATCAGGACTTTGGCCACTTTTGATTTGAATATCAATTGATAGTATGATAGAGGCGAGCCAGCAATTATATCTGGAATTGGTCATTCATCAAATATGATCATGGCCAGACATTTGGCCAACAGACATGTCACCGTAAATGTACAAGTAAAAATAGTAACAAGCAATACTTTAGCAGTATTATAAGGTAGAATAGGACTAATAATTATCACTGGATTTCAAGTGATGAAATTACTAAATCTAAATTTAAAGTTTTCTTATTTCAATATTTGAGTGTATTTAGGTAAAAAGTAAAACCCAATTATTTAAATTCGTATTTAACAGCAATATAAAAGCTAGTTCATCCCTTTAAAATAATGATCATTAAAAGCGAAATTGATCTTTGATATCGTAAAAGCTTAAGATTTTTGCTGTAGCAAAATACGTTTTTTCTCAAAATGCTTACAGTAATATTTGAAGTACAATATAATATACAGAATAGATTTTTAAAAAAGCCTTTTTAAAAAAAAAAATTGGAAAATTATAAATTAATACTGTAAATACATATAAATATATGTAGCACATTATGATAGTTTGACATGCGTATAAGTACGCCACTATATTTATGTCTAAATGCCCCTCAACCAAATGTCCAAGTACTGATATTATCTCTGCTTTTGTTTATTAGACCATATTATAGAACAAGCAGTCATTTCTGAAATGTGGGGGGAGGACTGTAGATTATTGATGTAGCACGTGAATGTCCTCTAGAGCAGGAGTTGGCAACCTATGGCACACATGTCACACGCTGTGTGCAAAGCAATTTCCAATGGTACAGTCACAAATGACATCACTAAGTCTGAACCACTACTACAAGGCAAAGGTATTTACTGTTTTGATTTTAATACATACTAAAGTACATATACTATATAAAATATATTGTAGAACATTTGTATTGACTTTTTTTTTTTTTTTTTTTTTATAAAAGTACATATGCTATTAACACACTAGCAAAAGGTTGCCAACCCCTACTCTAGAGAAAGGAAATTTACTCTTGATAAATGACAATGTACTACAAGCAAAGGAAACATTAACACTCTGAAATGTGAAGCATTTAAGATTATTTATTTCAAAGAATACTTTCATCAAACACTAGATGAAATATATCTAATCAGCATTTTATTGATCATAAATGGTAGCATTTTTCAAAAATAAAAATCCCAAATATTCGCAAAATAATTCTGTTTACAAAGCTTTTTCCTCACATCGAACCATCAGTTGAGCTAAAATAGGTAACTTGTGCATGTTCATATATTTTTTTTTTTAAATTCTACAAATGACAATAACAATTATCAAATGAAAAACTGAAAGAAAACAAATCTCAAGTGCCAAACAAGAATTAATGAGAATATGTGTGGACATAGGAATCAACATTGCATGGTGACTGTCAGTTTCATGTCACAAATGATCTTTAGAAACCTGTCTTAAGATCACAGGACAGTAGCCTTGTGGATTAAAATGTTGATTCATGAATTTGGTGATATTGTAACTCTGTTCAATCCCTGGGTCGAGCAGCATTCTTGGATTTGGTGAAAATGGGATGAGCAATAATTGAACAGTACTAAATTAGAACTAGATGAGATATAGACATGAGTAGCAGAATGAAAATGATCTCTTTTTATCCCCGAGATTTAATAAAGGGGCTGGTTAAGTCCCTCTAACTTACCCAGATCAACAAGCATCTAATGGAGACTGGAGGGCGCACCAGTCGTAACGTGATAACAAAGATGAGGATGTATCTGCATATTTCTTGAAACAATGTTAATTTCCATGTCCACACATTAAGTTTTTATATATATATATATATATATATATATATATATACACACACACAAAATCCTTGAAAATGAATGTAGCAAGCAACATTCAAAAGTACTCAGGAAGAAATCTAAATAAATATGAAGTTTGGTAAATTTACTGATTTTTATATACAAGAACTAATTCAGAAATTTGAAAAATTTAATGAAAAAAATTGGATAAACAAAACTTGTCGATATTATTCAAACCTGTTTGAAAGAATTCTTTCTGCTGAAATACACCTTTTAATTTTATTATATAGAATTAATATAAGTAAAACTGTCTCTTAGCTGATTGATGTTACCTTCAGCATCCAGACTCCAGAGTTTTATATATATATATATATATATATATATATATATATATACACACACACACACACTCTTACTTTAGAAAACTTATTTTGATAATGGTTTCATGAAAAGAAAATAATTGGCAAAACATCAAAATAGAAATTGCCCAAATTCTTTTATATTTACCATTTCATCAGATTCTCGACCAAACTTGTATAGAGAGCTGGGAGTATCTTATCTTTACTCCTGTTAAGATTTTAAGGAAATCTCACTTTGCTTGCCTTACGTCCCTATATAGATACACCACCAATTTTCTAGCAACAGATTTCCCAAAATTTTATTTGGATAAAATTGTGGAAACTTGAATATCTTTGGACTTTGAGCTTGAATTCTGGACGATTGTTTTCGCCTCAATTTCATGTTCTTAGTTCTTTTTTTTTTTTTTTTATTCCTTATTTTTCCTTGGGTATTGGTTTGTTCAACTACAAGCCAAAATACCTAAGGTTTTTCCAAGCGAATACCACTATATATATATATATATATATATATATATATATATATATATATATATATATTAAACGCCAAAGACAACATAGTCCTGCTGATTTTCTTTTGTATTTTCTCATATTTCCGAATGAGACTTTTATTTCAAAATTATATTGATGTATATATATTTTCCAAAAGACATATCAATATAATTTCGAAATAGTCTTATTCGGAAATATGAAAAAATACAAAAGAAAATCAGCAGGACTGTTGTTTTTGGCATTTAATAGGTGTTTAAAATAGGGAATGCTGCCTAAATACACACACACACATTGTGTGTGTGTGTATATATATATATATATATATATATATATATGTACACACACACACACACACACACGAGAAAAAGTGGATAAATAAGCAATGGAAATTTTCACCTAAAATTTGTTTCATCAAATTTTTTCATATAAACTCTGAAGATATACAAAAAAAAAAAATAATGAAAAGAAAAAAAAGTGATTGTCAATGAACAGGGATTAGGGCAAGTATTTGCCAGCAAAATGTGATCATTTAATAATCTAACCAAAAAAAATGTGTGTGTGTGTGTGTTCCTCACCATTTGGTACTACTTAGTTTGATATGTGACAATCATCCTTCACAAATTGAAAACTGACCATTGTAAAAAAATTTTAATATTAATAACCCATTAAATTAGTAAACCAGTACATTGACTTATGAAAATAGTTAAAAAAAAATTAAATAAAAAAAAAATAAAAAATTATGAAAAAATGCATACACCCAATTAAAAATTAGCTAAACAGAAAATATATTAAAATAATTGTCAGATTTGGTCCACTTCATAATCATGTGAATTAATGGTAAGATTGTATTTGCACCTAAAGATTGCAGCAACTGCATGAAACTCAGTTGTGTTATCAATGTTGATATTATGCATATTCACACACACACACACACATATATATATATATATATATATATATATATATATATATATATATATATATAGTAAAAATAAACAAATACTGAAGATTTATCTAATCTTGCTAATCTTTTACAGAATTTAAGTTTTGTTAAATTCAATCCATCAGGTTTGTCTAATTTTCCAGCATTCAAATAAATCAAAATTATGACTGATGCACTTTAAATAAACGGAAATAAAACAAAACCTAAACTTTAGACAGTTTATCCACAATTTTTCCTTTTAAACATGTTAAAAACAATTTACATTTTGTCTTCAGCAGCTTGGATGATTAGGAATCCCAAGAGATGCTGATTGCTACAATCTTAACTTGTTCAAAGCTAGATTCAACTGTTATATTCCCCACATATCTGCATAAACTGTGCCTCTTACTCTGTAACCCTCTACTTTGAGTGGCTCTTGGGTCATGTAATTTTTTTTTTTTTTTTTTTTTACAATGATATCCACCAAGTACAATATGATTGTTGGTGGTGGATAAAATGATCAAAATTCATAGTTGGTAGTCGGTTTTTGACTTGCATGACTCAAGGAGAGTGATATGTACATCTTTTTTTTTTTTTTGAAAAATTAGAAAAATACAAAACTGAAATAGATGGACATAGTAAACTGAATTTAAAAATTGATTATATCAAAACTGATTGATTTGTTTTCTATGGCTTATCAACCCTTTATAGGTTATTTAAAGGCAGAAAATATTTATTTTTTTTTTTTTTTTTTTTTTTTTTTAATGGATTAGTGATACAAGTTTTACTAATTAACCCACAACTGAGGGAGTAGATTGGTTCATATCTTTCACAAGGGTATATTTTTTAGATAAGTGAATACAACAAACACAACAGGAAATGGAAGTCTCCAATTAATTCCTGTCCATTTATACCATTCACACATTCAAGCACATGCCACCTGGTATTCCCAAGCAATCACCCATCTAGGTACTAATCAGGATCAACATTGCTTAACTTTCATGATCATACAGAAACCGGGGGTGGGGGTTTCAGCATGATATGGCTATAAGCCATCAAGTTTCATAATGACTAGCTTTTTATAAGTTTATACATTTAACATATAAGATTTGAATTCATTTAGTATAAGATTAACAGAATGTTACTTAGCAAAAGAAAAAAAAAAAGTATCTCAAAGTGATTCTGATAAAAATCAAATGAAATCATCACACATAACAAATATGTTCTTTTATATTACAAATTGTTTTATAAGCTAAAGTCAAGCAAAATTATCTCTAAATTAAAACAGGTAAAACTTAGCATTTTACTGTTTCCTTTTCTTTTCTTTTTTTTTTTTTTTTTTTTTTTAATTTTGTCACATAACCTACTATTGGTACTTGTGGGGCAGTATCACACAGCTTTAGTACTGTAGAGTTTTGAAACACTACGTGTTAAAATATTCTATGTATTTAGGCAGCAAATGTTCTTTAAGGCAAATGTTATTTTAAAAAAAAAAAAAAAATTGTGTCTATTAATTTTATTGATCAAATTACAAATAATCCTCAAATGAGGAGGAAATGCTGTCAAAACTTGTATAAAGTTTTTTTGAAAGAAATATGGTCCAAAGCTTTCAATCAGTCATCATCAGAGTAGGTACAGACAAATGGTGAGTGTTATGATGTAGAAGACAAGGTCTGACAAGTGTGGTTTTTATATTTAATTTTTTTTATACATTTGGGGCCGCAAGCTCTTAAATTATGAGTATTGCTTTAAGAATCATGTCTGTTTCTTAGTATTTGATTTTGCTAGTATTTTGGTATTGTCCGTGAACAGCTATCTAATGTTACTATGATACTTATTTAAAATATCATTTACTTGTAATGTATTGTTTTGTATTCTTTTTGGTTTTTATAGAACAAATAAATTTTAAAAAGTGTATGCAATAGGTTTCATTTTATTCTTGGTATGATCTTTTAAAATTTCTGATCAATCTGGTCCCCCCCCCCACATACACACACTTTTCAGTTTGTAACTTCTCAAGCAACAAACAAGATGGCTACTGTGATTTTTTTACATCAGTTTTTAGTGTGATCATTTTTGACAGTCTTTACTTTTGTCACATGCTTGTAATTAATATATGTATGAAATCCATGAACTCTTCAGCAGATATTCAGAAAGCTATTTGACAGATTATGAAAATTTGAATTGCCATTTAAGGAAAAAATATTTAGTATCCAATGGCACTAAGAAACAAATCCTTACATTTGAAAGTCTGAGTTCTACAAATGTTGAAAAGTTTATATTCATTTTGAATAACTTATGATTCAATGGTGGATGTGTGATCAAAAGTGGTTTGAATGTTCACTTTACAAGCATGCAATCAGTCATATCGCACCATGACAGATTTGTCAAGGAGATGATGGCTATCGGCATGGAGACCTGAATCATCATGTAGCACTTGAAAGCCATAATGTGGATTCACTGAAGCCTTGAATGAAATTGGGTAGATGAAATTATTTATTGATTGTGCTAGCACAGTCGAGTCATTGTGACTGAGGACTTGAGCATACATTCAACATAGTCACAGTATAAACCACATGTGAGCTCTGTGGATGTTGAACACAAATGTGCCTGATCAGGCATCTGCAAAAGAGATTGACTACTAGCAGACTGGCACGCTCGAATATGAACAGTCAGCCATTATGATTCAATGATTTGTTATAATAGAACAATAGTTTTAAATTTCTATCCTGATAGTGGATATCTATTTTGAATATCTTGAAAACCACTTGTGCATCTTTGTAATATGGCAACCAATGAAAGAGGACCTCAGGACTGTGCATGCTTAAACAAGCCCTTCTTCCTTAATGTTACGTGGTCAGCTGTAAACTGCCTTGTGTATTGTGTGACTGCGATAGTCACAATATGACTGAATCTACCCATTCTTCACACCTTGTTAATTTTTTTTTTTTTTTTTTTTTTTTCTCAACATGTCCTTCTCATAGTGCATTTCTGCAATTATCTGACTTTCCTCCAAAGAGACTTCAGACTATGGATGATGAGATTAAGGGTTACATGGAGATCCCAGAAGAGGAATTTACAAGGTTGTTTTGAAAAGTGGAATACTAGAAGTGAAAGAACTGAAGGGAACTAAGGTGTGCCATTACCTTAAGTAGGCACTTTTCATTAATATTAAATAGCTGGATATATTCCAGAGACCATAGAAATCGCCCCCCCCCTTTTCTTTCCAAGAAAGAATGGCAATTTAGATAATAAAGTATCTGGAGAATGATGGTCAACAATATCCTGAAGGGATATGGCATTTAAAAAATAGTACTAATAGCGACAAAATGAAAACTTGTTCAAACACTGAACTTAACTGGCATTTTTTAATTTGAATTAAAATCGGTTGAAATCAATAAATCCAACCTTAGAATAAAATTAACTTTAAGTATTGGATGATGAAAAAATGCAAGCTGAATTATGCACATTAATGTTAAAAATTGGTCACTATTTCTTTTTCTTTGATCAAAGGTAGAAAATAAAAGGTGATTTTGTTTGAAACTTTGACACTACTATACTTTTGCACACACACTTAAAATAAAACCATATTTACTTCTCATGTGTTAAAATTTGCATTCATTTAAATTGAATGTCTTAAAACTATTATTGTACAGTTAAGAAAAAAATACTATTTAATTAATGCCATTTAAATCTTAAAGAGAAAGAAATGACTTTTTTAAATAAAATAAGTTGGGATTGAAGTTCCATGTTAACTATTTTCCTGAAATTAATTCAAAATTTTGAAAATATTTTCTAAAGAACAGATTGCTGGTCCCAATTTGAGAAAATGAATGCTGAAAATCTTCCTCACTAAATTTATAGATAATTCCTACAGATGCATTCTGGGATATCTTAATAAAAGTTAATCTTTGTCTTCCCCCACATCTTTTTTCTTTCTTGTATTGTAGTTGCCTTGCCTTTTTATTATTCATTTCTTTTATTATTTTCTGTTCTATTGTTTTGGAATTTTGTCAGTTTCACTTTAAAATGACTGCTTATTCAACAAAGACCAAATAAAACGATCTGAAAACTATCATGTTTTCAATCAAGAAAATCAATACGAATAAAGGCATTTTTCAATTTAATCCTAATTCAAGAACCGATATTAATCATGATTTGGTGCCAAAAATAATTTCCAGTAAATCTTTGATTCCACAAACTCTGCAAAGTAATCAAAGATTCCTAATCATCCATTGTATAAAGATTTTCTGGTCTATGTATTACTTATTTCTTTCTCTTTTTTTTTTTTTTTTTTTTGTACCTTTGCCATATACCTACCAAACAATTTGTGATTGAACTGGTGATTATTGGGACAGGGGATATTATAGCACCAAAACCTGAAGACTAGTAGTAGATCCTAATTCTAAAATTATGAATATATTTTACAGTATGAGTAAACTCTTAGTAGTGATAGTAGCATAATAGTTGTAATAATACAATTTGATGAAAGAAAGAAAGAAAAAAAAAAAAAACATCGTCATATTCAAACTTGGGATATAACATTGTCACAAAAAGAAAATTAAATAAAAAAAAAAATAAATAAATAAATAAAAAATTAAGTAATCTTATAAAACCAAGAAAAATCAGATTTTGCATAAAGTTGTGACATTGAAGTCTTATGGCTTTGTGCAAAACAGTTTCTTTCTTGTAAAATATTCCTTCCTTTTTCAGAAGGTCTATAAATGTAAAATCGGTTGTAAATCTTGTTGGAAAATCTCTTCTACATTCCCATCTTGCTATGGTTTAAATGGAATAAATTACCCTTGGGTGGAAACCTGTCTAACAGAAGGAAAACTGAATTTCAAACCATAAAGGAGACAATAGGAAACCATTCCACTTTCTTTCCAAGAATGAAAGGCAATTCAGATAAAGAATTTGGAGTCATTAAAAGAAAAAAAAAAGAATGGTTTGTTATTAATGTTCATACTCAGATAAATGTAGATATATTGTGACAAAAAGCCTTAATTATTTTGACTTGATCACAAATAAAAGCAAAACTTTATAACTTAAAAAAAATTAGATATTTAGAAATATCTTTTCTCTTGTTTAAGATTGGCTTTCCATTTCATTGTAAACTCTGCATCAATTCTATACTTCTAACATTTCTGCCTAAACTCTGAAATTTATACTATTATTGGTTTTGTAGTTCTTCTAAAGTCTTTTCTCTTTCAATTCCAGTACCCCTTTGCATGTTGTATGTGTTATTGCTTTGCTTACAATGGATTGATCTAAAAAAAAAAAAATTCATTCTAAACCAAAATTTTCAAACTTACTTTTTTTAATAATTTTAGTGACTCAGAGTTAATCAACTGACCCAATTGTACACAAAAGAAGCTTAATCTGAAAAGTTCAGATTAAGATGTAACTTTGACTAGAAATTCATGTTTTTAAATATTTTAATGCACACTTTATCAGCTCCAGCCAACTATTAAATTTTAATGACTTTCATAGTTTTGGTTCAGTAGTTAGAGAAAGGAATCAAATATTTGAGGTGCCCTTGTAATGCAAGAACTGCCTAACAGCATGTTCATAAATGAATATAGGAAAAGTGAGTTCAAATTAGAGCAGCCTTTCATGTTCCAGTTCATTTTTTGCTTAAATTGAAGAATAAATGTTATGTCTTAGTTTAAATATCTTCTGAGATTAAGCCTGAAGAAGTTACAAAAACAGAAGCTACTTAAAAGAAGTAAAAGTATATCTTAAAGCTAAAGACTGATAAAAAATATCTTCATATGTGTTGTATTATAGTAAGTTAGTAATAGATTAGAAACAAGGTTTGTAAATCGTATTAAATGATAAACCTTGATATAAATGTTGAAATTTCTTTTGAGATTTTAGACAAAGAATCATTTTCAGAAAAAACAAGATGACATTAGGGAACAAATATCTTTTTAATTTAAAAAATAAATATATATAACACGCACATGAAATTGGCCAGTGATTTAAATTCCATTCTCCCCCAGCCTACCCACTGTTATTCCAAACACCCTACCCCACTGTTTATTTTATTTTCCATTTTTTCCTATCTATCTGTTTATCACAACCCCTCCCCCCCCGCCATAAAAAATCATTTTTTATTAAAATAAAATACCTTTCCAACCTACTTTTTTATTCTGAAATTACAAGCATGTTTGTGAATATATATCTTTCTTTAATGACCCTAACAAGTAATACATCCGTGAAACTTGAAGTTAGAAAGATAAGTCTTTTGATATTTTTTTAAATTTTTTTTTTATTCTTTATCTAATGATTATTGTTTTATTTTTAATATTGCACACTTTAACAAAAATCTGCTTATCTTTTAAGCTCATTAAACTCCAATACATTTAGGGCTGCATGTTTTGTTAGATTTTAATCTGTTAGTATTATTGTTAAAATAAATTTAAGCAGTAAGAATTCACTTACACAAGTTCTGTTAATTTCAATCAGTAAGGTCAGGCTGTTTGTTTTTTTTGTTTGTTTGTTTTTTGTTTTTTTTTATTGTATTTGTCTAATTTTCTAAAGTTGTACATTGAAATAAAAATTGTGGATTATTCACTGGCCAAAGTTCATGTTTTTGTTCTGTTTTAGACAAAAGTACTTTCTAAAAAAAAAACAAACAAACAAACAATAAAAAATACATTGACCTGGTCATCATTTGAACTTACATTTTTTGACTCACACACACATTAAAAATGAAACTAACACTTTAGGTTTTACCGATGATTTATAACCGCAACCAAAAGCATTTTGAATGCAATGACACATGTTTTTGTTTTTTAACTTAAGTTATTAATATATGCAATTGCCTTAAAAAAAAGTCTTTCAATTGTCAACTGATTATTTTTAGTTCAGCCTCTATTTTTTTTAATTGACAGCAGGTGGGGGTGTTTAAGAATTTTGTTTTATTCCAAAATAAGGCATTTATAAAATTTTAAATATTCGAACAAAAATAAGTGATTCACTTTGTAAACATTTTTTTTTTTTCTTGTAAACATTTTCTCTGTGTGTGTGTGTGTGTGTGTGTGTGTGTGTGTGTAGACAAATACAACTATAAATGCCGAAGTGAAATCTAGCACTCACTCGTTCTTTATCATTCCATTGTGAACTCATTTCAAATCTGGTGAAACAGGGGTTTGTTTTTTTTAATATATTTGAAATTTTCATCTATATCTCCTCCACAATCACTTACTGCAATCGTAATTTTTTTTTTTTTAAGTTACAAGGGAGAAAAATCAACTACAAAAAAAAAAAATAACCATTACTATTTTTTTTTTATTGCCACTTGCGCCTTCCATTTTACGGTATTGAGCAAACAGTGTGGGCTGTTAGTTAATTAAAACAAAAATGAAAGTAAATGCTAGTCAAAAATTATAATGGTTGACATTGATTACATATAAATACTGCAAAGCGAAACTTATTTCTCAAATGCACATCAAAAGTCTATCTCTTTTCATTAAAAGATTTTAACGTGAGTGGATATAATTTAATTATCGATCTCAATCGAAACATTAAAAAAATATGTAGTTTCTCATGCAGAAAAAAAAGAAAATATCAAGCTTACTTTGTTTACATTGACAATTTGTTTTACATATTTAAGCAGTTCAAGGGAAATAACTGCCATTTTTTTTATTTCCCTTTTTTGTTTTTGTTTTTCATTTCGTTTTAGTTTGTTTACACAGCGATTTTCTTGGGTTTTACTTATTAGCCAGCGACAAAATCTTGGCAGTCCATAAGGCGATGTCGCTATCACAGACCTTTGATTCAGCCAATTCTTTGACCTGGCTTGAATTTATGACACGAGCACCCTTCTCTATTATTTTATTTTTGGTCTGATCAATATCCTCTAGTTTCACGCCTTTACTTGCATCATCAATGAGGTAAGTACGAAAACCCAAATCCAAAGCATCGAGTGTTGTGTATCTGACACACACATCATAGGCAAGGCCACACACATACACATCGGTGACATTTCGGGCACGTAGAATAGATTCTAATTCCGTCTGAGAAATTCGTTGGTTGTCGAAGAAGGCTGAATAACTGTCAACATCGGTGTTAGTACCTTTGTGTATTTGGATCGATTTTGAAGTTGAACCCACTTTTAGATCCGAGTGTAATTGGGATCCCCAAGTGCCTTGGACGCAGTGTCTGGGCCACAACATCTGAGTGTGTGGAGCATGATCGGAAAACACGACCACATCGTATACTTGGGCATTCTCCGCAGACACGGGGCTGCTGATGTGTAGTTTTCGGAGAGGGAGATTATCAATGAATGAAATATGCTTTTCATCGTGCCAATCAAGGGAATAAATTTCTACATCGAAATTAACATCAGAAAGCAGTTGGTTGATTACAGGTACTACCGAGGCTCCGTCCTGACCAGCAGGGCATCGCTTCAAGGCAAGGGAGCCGTCAATAAAGTCATTTTGAACATCGACTACTATCAAAGCGGACACTGGTTTCATCAGATATTTTAGCCATGTCTTCCAACGGATTTCTTTAAATCCTAAACGCATATCGTTATCCTCGTCGAGTAAAGCCAAAATCTCTTCTGCCAAAGAGGTGGTTGAAGAAGAGTTGAAAATATCACCGATCATACAGGCAAACTCGTGTTTATCTAAAAACCCGTCTCCGTTTTTGTCGTAGTAACAGAAGCATTCATGGTACCACTTATTATTATTATCAATAAGGCCGCTATTATTGAGAGAACCGTGCCCGTTTTTATTGTTTGCTTCGGCCATCTGGCAAAATTTCGTGAGGAATTTCTCTCTGGCTAAAGCTGAACTAGACATGTTTCTTTGTCGATGACAATCGAATGATACCGCTTGTCAGCAGCAACACCACTGGTTATAAACTGACCGATTCAGTTCGGGCGGGGGAGTGGAGAATTAAGTTGATAGATTTATAATCAGCCAGTCACATGACCCTTTGTCGGCGCATGCTCGTCTCTCCGTTGCTGCAACAACATCGGGGTAGTGAATGCCTAACTACGGTAGCGCACCGGGTGGCTAGCGTAGCAGACTGTCAGCCGAGAGGTTCCGAGTTTAAATAGGTGGATGTTTTGATAATGAGTATTGTTGCCATAAAAAGACAAAAAAAATTCCACTATATTAAAATAAAATTAATGCACATTGCATACAGAATTTGTGTATAACTAGAAATAACTAATTAATAAATATATGGATTAGAAATCCGCCAAAATTTTTTTTTTTTAAATAACGAACAAGTAGGAAAACCAAATCTAATAAAGTTCTCTCTCATATATATATATATATATATATATATATATATATTAAAAAACATTCACATTGTTTAAAATATGCGGTTTGAGGAAAAGAATGTTTTAAACAATGTGAATGTTTAATTTTTATTATCATTAGCAATTATCTATGTAGCGATCAATTTTTTTATGAATTTCATTTTTGCCTACATCATTCATGAAGTTTTGTGTGTAGGTCTTCACTTGTTACGGAATTTTTTACCCTGATGTGAAAATATTTCTTCATTCTTCGAATTAATAAATGCATTCAATTTACGGGTGATGCAGATGATTCGACCATTACGTGATACACGCTTCTTCTTAGGGTCATGTCTCTTTCAATTCATGACTGACTAGAGAAAAAAGATTTCCCGCAATAAGCTACCCTTTCTTTCTGCGGTAGAAAGGTCCAATCTGTCCTGCTATTCAATCCATACCTGGGAGTGGGTGGAAAAGACATGGATTCATATTTTTATTTTTTTTAATCTATTCACCCCAAGCAAGGCAATGATGCTACCAAGCGTGAAAGACAATGAAGACTTCTAGTTAGGGTAGCGGAAAACTAACACAATCCTAAACTAACATGAAACAAGAACAAGGGTTTTTAAAGTTTGAACTGGACTAGAGACGTTTCGTTTAAACTAAAGTTTAAAACGAAACGTCTCTAGTCCAGTTCAAAAGACCGGGGAGGACTGTATTTCCCAAGTGAAAATAAAGCATGAAAAATGAAAATGTTTACGATGTAATTGTAAAGAATATGTTCCTTCGTGGTAGTTAACTTTTTTTTTTTTTTTTTTTTTTTTTTTTTTTTGCATGAATTGTAAAAATTCATTTTTCATCGAAAAAAAAAATTTTGGCTTCAGACAAAAATTTCCTTAATATTCATAAAAGCCATTAAAAGCTTTTTTAATTAATCGTTTATTGTTTTTTTTGTTTTTTTTTGTTTTTTTTTTGTATTTTACAATTCAGAGCTAAAGCTTTTTTTGCGTAGAAACGCTCCTCAGTTTAAAATCGATTTATATTCAAAGTCTTCGCAGTTAATTAAAAAAAAAATTTACAAAACTACGCATAACTTTTCATATAATTAAGTGGCAGGGCAAAAAAAAAAAAAAAAAAAAAAGCATTTCTAAAATTTCATTTTTGAATAAGTTCTGAAAGTTTTAAAACCCGACAATTATTTGTTTTTTTGTTTTTTTTTTTTTTTTTTGTTGTTTCTTTTGCATGAATTTCCAAATTAATGTTTTTAACTTTAAAAAAAGCGAACGCGACCGATGACGTAAAAAATTCAACCCAAACTTTGAACGTGCTAGAAAAGAGTAAAAAATCTTTTAAAAAAAATCAAAAACTACTTTGGTCTTTCCTCTTTAAGACTCTTATTAAAAACAAACTTTTTTTTAATAAAACTTTGTTTTTATTGAGTTTGGGGCATTTTTCCATCATGCTACGCTGTTTTGTTTGTTGTGTTTTTTTTTTTTTTCAACCTCTTTTTAAAGAATCTTGGTGTTGGTAATTAGTCACAGTGATGATTTTTATTATTTATTATATGCTAAACTTTCAAACTGCAATTTATATTTTTACAATGTTTTCACATGTACAAGGTTAGATTTTCATTTTATTATGGTGGTCAATGTTTATTACACAGCAAAATTTATTAAATGCTGGTAAAATTTTACCTAGCGTTTGTGCCGTCCGGGGAGCTTGTAGAATTTACGGCCCTTCTCAACAACATTCTAAAACTGGAACCTCTGCGAATAAAAAAAATATTACAATTACTGATTTTTTGACTGCAGACAAAAAAAATAAATAAAATAAAAAAACTTTATAATTCTATAGTTAAAAATAAAACGTTACATTTAGGCACAATGAAAAAAAATATAAACTAACAGTAACTGCCGCATAGTGTAACGTTACTTTAAAGTAAATGCCCAGCGTATTATGTGCCGTATCTCTTCAGGAGGTAGCCGATCATGGCTCCCCCACAATATCCTGTCCTTTGTTTCTCTAAGAAAAAAAAAAAAAATCTTTTATCTCTCAAATCTTGCACCGTCATCCATTTACTAAAGTTCGCTAGGTAGGATATACGTATCCGGTATCAAATTCTCTTCATTAACACTTTTGTTTGAACATTCTCTTTCTAGTAAGTGTCCTATGTTTCCATTTTCTCTCTAAAACTTCTTAATTGCTCACATGTTCAGTCCATAGTATTCTCAGTAACTTAACTATAAAGTGAATTTAAGTTAAAACTGTACAAGTAAAACGAGCGGACAGAAATTATTTCTGCATGCTACTAACCCCCTACCCCCCTATTAAATGCTACTCGCTAAAATTGGCCGCCGAAACGGTACTCTCCATTCTCTATGTCCGCCAATGTTTGATAGGTACGTCCAAAATCTTCCGCACTTTCGGCACACGGTAAAAATACCCACTTTTTAAAATTTACCCCCAAGTCAGGAAATTACCCTATTTCATTGAATTTTTTAGTATTTATTCATTAATGAATGAACTTTTTGAATGTTTTTTAAAGTTTTATGGAAGTATTTTTTCGAGTCAGTTATAGCCCTACTTTAATTATTGGCTAATCCGTAATAATGAATTCTGGATGATCCTAATTTTTACTTTTTTATACAGCTAAAACCCCGAAGGCTTTTTTTTTTTTTTTTTTTTTTAATAAATTACGTCCGTCAAAACAATGAAAAATACAGTCCGAAACTTTTAACAAAAGAATTCAAGAAAACTCTGTTTTTTTATGGAGTGTTTCTGATATCCAATTTTAATAAAATATACAATATATTTTGACATTAAAAAAAAAAAAATCTGTTTATTTATAACAAGTGACATCAGATTTTAAAACTCTCAGTTCTTCAGAAATATAAAAGAATTTTTTTTTTCCTGAGAGTGAATGGGATAAGTTAGAACATCTCCTTTCTTATCTCGGACATTGAAAGACGCATTCGAAAACAAAATTCGAAACTTGTGTGTGAAATTTGAAAGGAACAAACATTTAGCATAAAATAATAGAACAGAATACAAGTTTTACAAATAAGTTTGCATAAACATTTCCTTTTATGCACTTTATTAAAGACAAAATAACCAATTAAAAAAGCAGGAATATAGCTCATAAAAAAAAATATTCAACTATCGAAAAGACTTCAATTGAAGGTGTAATACAATGCTTTAAAAAAAAAAAAAAAGTTGAAAATACACTCTTTCAAAAAAAGACTTAAATTCACCAGTTACGAGGACTAACAAATTTGTTCCTTCTTTTGAACACAGTTCAATTATTATCGGAAGATTCTCACTTCACTGGTTTTTACTTTGGTTCTGCTTCTTTTTCTATTTCTTTTGTTTCTTACTAATTCCGCAAGAAGCAGTACAGCTCATCCACTAACTTTTTCTTCTTATGTCCTTTTCGAAATTTTTTTTATACCTTTTGAAATTTTCTAACTTGTCCTCTTACATTCATTAAATAGGCTTTTAAATTTGTGTGGATGGAAGTCACCCTTCTGATTGGTCAAAAGATAGAACGCGGACTTTTTTCTTTTTTCTTCACAAACCGTCCTGCGTTTGTTTTTTTTGTTTTGTTTTTTTTTTTGTTTTTTTGTTGAACCGTTATTTATAGAAAGTTTTAATATTTTTTTTTTGATCGGCTTGGATTTCTTTTATGTTTTTAAACACTTCTCTTAAAAGTAACAAACATACCTAGATTGTTATAGCGTTTTTTTATCTACACTTTCTATTGATCATTTACTTAATTACATTTTTATTATGTACATTTTAGTCTCTCCGCAAGAGAAAGAACAAACAAAATTAGTGTATTGTATTATTTTTACTTATTTTATATCCACCTTTTAATTACTTTAAATTACTTAAATATTTTATAAGTAAATCTTGAGGAAAATATCATATTAGTTTTATCTCGTAATTAAAGATATTGGTAAAACTTTTCGAGTCGAGTGTTGGGCTTTATTATGCAAAAATTTCAACATAAATGTTTTATATAAATAAATCCAAAAGATACAGACGATAAAAACGGTGGGGGTTAACAGTAACATGATATTCCATAGAATTTCCTTTCTAACTTAAACTATTATGGGCTCCCTGACCTTCTATACTCTGAAGGGCTGAAGTATTTCAATTGTGATTGGTGTGTTCACGCCGGGTGATCACCAGTTGACATGGAGTGTTATTTTCTTTTACTGGAAAATTTGTCATAAAATGAAGGGGCAAAGTATATGCAAAATATATATAAATATATATATATATATATATATATATATATATATATATATATATTATATATTTTTATTTGCTTTAGAGTTAGTTCTTTGGTATTCGGTGTAACAAAATGTTCGTTTATAAGGCGGATACTGGTTGCAATCTGGAGAAATGTCTGGTAGTTGTTTTGAAATCAGACCCAGATAGGGATAGTAGTAATATTATAAAAATATCGGTTTCAAATCTTTTTTTTTTCTCTCGGCCCTAAACAGGGTAGAAATATCATTAGCAGATGACCACTTAACTGCACTTTCGCACGTCATGCATGACTGGTTTATCTGCAGTAGTGTTCTTTTGTTGCGTTCTTGTCCCATCTGCCTCTAGCCCGGCAGAGATGTCAGATTTATATCCTTTTTAACCAGGCTCTAGAATCTGGCGCGGACATTGGTTTTCAATGTCAATTTCACAATGTCACCCCCATATGACCCCCCAGAAATAATTTATGACCCCCCCAGTTTTGTCGCCCCGTCAGAAATTTTCTAATTGTCGGGAAATTTGTGAGTAGGAAAAATAGCAATGTTTTCAGCTTTCATGTGTTTCAGTTGCTACAGTCTTGGTTACTAACAAGAGACATTGTTGTAACATTTTATCGGATGATATGGTGTTTTAACTCTGCATCATTAATAACAACAAAGCGTAATACGAAGCCAAAAGTGCAACAATTTCAGTCTTGCCTGTGTATCAATTCGCCGAGATACATTTTTCCATTGAGTGAGCGATGTACTTTTGAATATATCTACTAGTGTTGGGACGATTAATCGGAAACGGTATCGAAATCGGAAAAAATTGTGCTTATTTTCCGATTCCAAAAACGATTCTTTTAAATTTTTAACTTAATTTTCCATTATTGGTACTAATGATAAATATTTATTGTTTTTAAATTATCACTAAAACTAAAATCATAACATCAAAATACGATGTAAATTTATTTTACTTGTATAAGTTCTCTAGGTAACCTTTAAAGAATGCAGTTGATTTACAATGTTCCGAAAAATGCTTAAAAATTAAATAGAACATTTTTGTAAAGAAAAATACTTTCAAACATCATTGATAATTAAATTGTACCCAGAAAATGATGCAACGGAAAATTGGACACCGGAAAATTACGTCAACCATGAGCCAATCGAGACTGTCGGATCTGGCTGTGCTGTCCATTTGAAAACGAGCTTACAAGACACAGATTTTGACGATGTCATTGACCAGTTTGCCACAATGAAAACAAAACATTCATTCTAAGACCATAGTATTGAATGTCATTCTTTTGTGTATTGCCGTGTTTGTATTTAGTTGTTCTGAAAGTGAACAGTTGCATCTGATTATTTTGTGGTATTATTGGATTTTGTCTTGGATCATACATGTAAACAGTAACGTACCGGTCAGTAAAGTAGAGGTAGAGCATGTATGAAAATTTAGCTACAGCTAACCTTTCAGCATAGGGTGAATCGGGGTCATTGGGATGACATTTGAGCGGACCGCCCCGGGTGACGTTTACTCTAGCTACGCCACTGTGTATGGCACAGGCGATTTTATGTCTTTTTCGTCGGGGAGATAGGCCATTGCATTACCCCCCGCCCCGACCTCATGGTCACAGAGATAGCAGCTGGGGAGATGTCAGGTGCTTTTCTAAAGCGTTGCTACAACAGGCTCACTTGCCTCTTCAACAGTTCCTGCTACAACCCGATGATCCTTTTCACTATCACCTCTGCTCGATTGATCAAAGCAAACATCAGCGTCTGCTATATATATATATATATATATATATATATATATATATATATATATATATATACACATACATACACACACACCAGTGCGGGGGTTATGTTCCCGGTAATCCATTACAGGCGGCACGTTCGATTCGTTTAGTTGCACGACCGCCATCAACGAAAGAAGCCCTTTTCAGGCATTCAAACTTTCGTTCGTAATAGGGAATAAGTCGGTCTTTCTCGACCTATTGACGCGATTCCTTTTCATGGGTTTTAACTTTCGTCGACAAGGCGTATTTTCCACTGCGGTTTCGCAGCTTGCAGGGTGCTTTACCGTCTGTCTATTCCCATGATGCAGTTCACTCATTTCGTCACTGATCGAGTTCCGCGTGAAAAACAGGTTCTTCAATGGAGAGAATTGCTATCGCGCATACAGAAGCTTGGTTTCTGAAGAAGTGCTGCTCTCCTAACTTGAAAATGGAAACCCCACCCAGGGCTTTTGATTGCATCCACACTGATAAGTACGCTGAATCCAAGAGGGTCCTCTTTGTGCTTCCAAAGCTTCTATTTCTGCAGTTCCACCTGAAGATCGAGCTACCCGACACCACTGTATGTTTCTCCACTAAGAGTCATCACTTAAACATCTCTCCTTTTTCATGTCTGGCACATCTTTCTATTGACAATCGTAAGAGAACACCCAAAATTCACCCGCGCAGCACCTCTCTTCCCGCACATGTACACATCTATGGTGCGCAGCGCCGAATTCACATTTTGCCGGGGGGACGAGACTGGCACTGTAACACCCCACCCCCGGCGCCGCCTTGTCCTTTTCCCGAATAATTCCCCAACAATTGACCTGGCTCCCCAGACCGGAGCTTCAGACAGTCGTCTTTCGACCTCTGGTGTCGAGCGAGACAGTCACGAGATATGTGGTTTAGACCAGGGGTCCGCAAGGACAAGATAGGCGTCCGTGGATAGCAAACGCTTTTTTAGGGGTGACGTGCAACTTATAAGCGCTTATAAGTAACTTATAGGCCAATCATGAAATAAATTGTTTCAATAAACTATTTCATAGATTTGGTATACTAATATAATTTGTATCTTAAATTGATAAAGATAATGGATTCTATTCATGCAGAGAAGGAACCAAAGGATTTGAATTTTGGATCTATTTTGCGATTTCTGGCTTTCTCATTGGCTGTTAGGTGTTTGCATTAATGCAAAATTGTTATATTCAGCAAATATTTATGTATACATTTCATAAGCGTTTATAAGGGGGTCCCTAAGGTAAAGCCTGAAATATAAAGGGGTCCACAAGTCAGTTTGAAACCCCCTGGTTTAGACCATCAGACCACAACATTTTGTTGGTGCACTAGCTTCCACTGAGTGACGCATTGTTTTTACAGCTGCCGCAGCTCGTTCCGTTCCCGTCTTTTAATATTACCCTCACACGAGCCAGCACCCGTGTAATGTCGATTCAGCAGGATACACAGCCTTATTCTGGTATACCGCCGAACAGAACTGAGTTTCTGTAGGTCCATCAGAAAAAAAAAATATCGACAGGCTCTTCAGGGTGTAACACGCTGTGCCACAAATCGTTCATAAACTGCGAATGAATCAGCGGCAAAGGCCGTATATAGGGTTTCTTTTATGCAGCTGAAGTTGTTTTGTTTTTTTTTTGTTTTTTTCACTCAGCTGCTGATACACTGCGCATGCGCCACTCGTTAGACGCATCCGGACTACAAACTCGATTCTGTTTAACGGCGCACAACCGACAAATCAATTTTGCTTTCTCTATTCATTCGATAACGGATTGTTTAGGATCAGAGCCGTCAAATCGGTCGGTCATGGTACCAAAATAGATTATAGTAATATATCTGGAAATCTTTCATATTCCTCACAGCCACGTCTTTGTTATTGAACTTCACATCTAGCCCTAAAGATAAAATCTGCCGGCTTTCAATTGTGCAGATCTTATGTCCACCTATAAAATTTATAGGAATTATAATCTATAGGAATTTAATTTTCTTAAAGCACGAGGTAATTTACATGGGCGATGTGTCCCTTTCGTCGGGCAGATGCGCAGTATACATTTTTACAACAGCGTTCGGCTCTTCTACTGCAAATCTGTTTTTTCGGGCGGTTTCAGTCTTTTTCCTCTTTTTTTTTATTTGAGGGTTGCTTTCTTGTTAGTTGAGTGAAGTATAGAAAGATAAGTTTATAGAGAGAAAGAAAAGGGTTTTAAAGGAAAGCGCACATACCTTATTTTAATTTGAATTCTTTTTAATTTTCTTTTTAATTTTATTTTTATCGGGCCACAAACAATCACTGATTTTGCTCTCGTTTTTATTATTTTGATTTTAACATTATTTGCAGCAATTTTTTATTACTTCCCGATAGGTACCTCCCCTTGTTTGCTGAAAAAAGCATAGCATGATAAAAAAAGACCAAAAACTTAACAAAAACAAAGTTTTATCGTCAAAATATTAAGAGGAAAGACCAAAATATCTTTTTTTTTTTTTTTTATTTTCTAGCACGTTCGAAATTTTACGATTACTGTTTTTGCGCTTTTTTCCGGTAAAAACACATTGATTTGAAAATTTTTGCAAAAATCAAATAATTGTCGGATTTTAATGAAACTTTCAGGACTTATTCACAAATAAATGAAATTACACACACACACACACACACACACACACACGTTACCGCCCCCACTTAATTAATTTAATGAAATTTCGAGAAATTAAATTGCAATCTCAAAATTTGTTTTATTAGTTAAAAACCGGATTTCTTGAATGTAATTTTTTTTTTCAAACTATTACTCATTTCCCGAAAATCTACTCAGAATCTTAAAATAAAAATACAATAAAACTAGTTACTTTTGCTTTTTCGCTAAGATTTTCGATACCTAAGGTTTTAAATGAATTTTTAAAAATGAAAAGGCATTTTTGGAGATTTCTTTTTAGCTTTAATTGTAAGCTAAAGGATTAAATTGACTATTTCCAGTGGGTAAAATATTCTGGTGTATTTCAAATAGAAATTATATAGATTGAAATATCAAATATTTGCTCGATTTTAAAAAAAAAAATCTGTTTACTGGAGGCCATTTCTTACATTTTAACAAGTTTTAAAATAAAATTTAATTATCAGTTTTAAAAATCTTCTAAAAATAAAATATATATCTGTGACTCGATATTTGAGTAAAATTAACAAATTTGAAGTTAAATTAATCTGATTTGATATAAGTATTACAGCATAAAAAAGTAGTATACAAGCATTTCTTTTGTCTTTATTGACGTATCGACGAACTCCGAGGTGTTAACAGCTAGTATGGATGACCAGAATCGACATAAATTTACGAAGTCTAAGTGAACGTATCGTGTGTGTGTGTGTATATATATATATATATATATATATATATATATATACACACACACACACACAGTGCTGTTCGATAAAAGTGACTCACCTGATTTTTTTTTTTTTTACTTAAAGTTTTTTTTTTTTTTTTTTTTTTTTTTTTTTTCGCCTATTGTTTTTGGGGTCAAACTAATTTTTAATCGTACAGACCCCCTCCCAACCACCTAGTAAAAAAGTTAACTCATCCTAAGGTATTGATAATTATAACTTGGGATATAAATAAGATTTAGGGAAAAAATCTGAGCAAAAAAGTGACTCGCTTATTTCCTGCAACTAGTAATCAATAGAAACACAACCGAACAGCTTTAAATAAAGAATAATAGATATAATTCATTTATAATAGGTAATATAGTTCGAAATATTTGATAATCTATGTGTCCTCCTTTATTTTGAATAACCTTTTCAACCCTTTTTGGCACTGACTTGATTAGGTTCTGGCAAATCTCATCTCCAAGTATTGAATTCCATTCGGATATGAAATTCACAATCAAATCCTCTGTTGCTCAACTGCTTTCTCGAGAGCCTTTACTTTAATGTTCCATAAGTTTTCTATGAAATCATCAAATTCTATTTTTCCAAACGTGACCTCCAATTACAGAAAATCTATCCTGAATAGTGAAATTAAAAAAAGATCCAAGAAAGCGAAGACATTATTTACTTAGTTAATTATTTAATTACTTGTATGAATAAAATAAAATATATTATGGACACTATTGTCTTAAGGTATTTTTTCTATGAATAATGAACTTTTAAAATAATTGTTTTCATTTCTTTTAAATTTTAACTAGAATAATTTACTAATTCAAAATCTTAAAATTCTGTATTAATTTGTAGCAGTCAAGTGATCTTGTCAAATTAAAATTCCATTTACTAATCCATAAATGGAAAAAGGTCACTACAATTCAACGACACCCACTCTCAGCAGTATTTTTTTTAATTCATTTTCTATTTGTGTGTATAAACGTCGATTTCTGTAAATACGGAAGTCCATACACGTCATTATCAGACAATAAGCGGTACTTATATTTATTGGTGTATTTTCTAACTCTTTGTCAACAAATATCATCGTAAGCAAGGTTATGACGCCAAAGATTCTAAAATTCAATAAAATATTAGAATGCTTAGAATATTTTACCTTTTTAAGATTACTGGCTAATATATAAATGGTGTTCACGTTGTATTTATGTAATTATTTTTTTTGATTATGTCCGCTTTAAATTTCCCAAACATTAGACTGATTGCCAATAAATTCACTCAACGTCAAAAACATCACCCCCCCCTCTAAAAAAAAAGTTGCGATTCTGCGATATTTTAAACTAAAATATTTAAATTCAGATTAATTAAATTTTAGATCGGCTAATTTTCCTCAAATAACGTTTCAGAAAAGCATATTTTTTATTTTTGAAAGACGTTCCAATAAAGAGAATTAGGTTGTTGACAGATCTATCTATATGGACGTATTTATAGATTTTACTGACGAGAAAAATTCTGTCAATAGAGCATTTTCACCATCTCTAAAAATAGACGAATAATAAAAATCGCCATAGATAATAAACGCATCAGAAAGCTTTCGCAACCAGAATGTAAGAAAATAAGAAATCACTCTTAAAAAAAAAAAAAAAAAAAAAAAACTTGATCAACCAATCAGAAAGCTTCACAACCAGGATATAATGCTGCGAAACAATAACGAGTGACCTTTTCAAAGTGAATATATTGACGTGCATATATAAACAGATGAAAAATCAGCCAAAATCAGTTAATACATTTTGTTCAGTCTAACCTAGCCAGAGACGAATTACATTTACACGACTAGCTGACGAAATCAGACTGCTAAACCGTCCTTGCTACATTGAAAATAAACATGCTTTCCTTTACCACGTGGTAAAGTGGTAACCACCATTTTACCACGTGGTTTCTCCCCCCCCACACACACACACACATTTCCACATCCAACAGATACCACATCACTTGAATACTTTCAACAACAGCAGCAACTAAAATATCACTTAACTGAGAAAAATGACACAATCAAGTTGTTCACTTACCACACTATTTTAACCAAGAGATTAAGCTTGAAACCCCGTCAATACCAGACAGAGCGATAATAAACTTTAGAAACCTATCAAGACAATGACTGTTTATGAATTTCAACTGTCCTGTCAATGAATATTTTAAAGAACATATGTATACAGAAATAGGAAATTTTGCTTATCTCGTGGTAACGTGTTTTATCCAAGAATGTCCAGAATGTCTGCCTTCTTGGGCGATTTAACAATTAGAAGCTTTGGTTTTTGTTTCCTTTGGCAGTAAAATGCTTCTTCTGGTGCATCATGGGAGTATTTTATATCTTTAACTTTATTATAATTTAAATTTATCTTTCTTTATTGTTAATTACCATTCTTATCTGTATGTTTCATTGCTTAACTTTTAATTTTTCTCTTATTTTGGTTACAGACTATTACTTAGTCTAGTAATAAAGGTTGGGGTAATTTAATAAATTATTTATTACTTTCATTACAGTTGTT